GGGGTGGCCACTGTGTGGGTGGGAATGTGTGCAGTGGGTGCAGTGATAGGGGCAGTGGCATTAGGGTGTAGTGGTACAGGAGGGGTGTGCAGCATTCCCAGGTATGTGGGTGCACCGGTGGTACATATAGAAAGAGGAAGTCGACCATAGAACAGAAATAGAGAGAAAGAGGGAAAAGGAAAGGTGAGGGGGAAGGTGAGATAGGAGGAGCAAGAAGCGATGGCAGGGGAAGCAGAGTAGGGCAGCACAGTGCAACATGGGGTCAGGCAGGGTATGCCCTGACAATAGTTCACCTCTGGCTTTGTCTTCACTTGAGCCTACATCACCACCAGGTTCCCTCCACTACACCTGAATACAGGATAGCCTAGAGCATGTGGCACAATGCTCCCACTGAGTTGTTGAAACCAACATCCCAACCCCCTGATGCCTTGCAATGGAGTAAACTATCAGCTAAGTGATCACTCACACTGCCATACTCTGCTCCACTTCCCATGAATAGCCTCAAGCACTGTTTCTGACACCAAGCAGCAAAGGTGGCTGGAGGAAAAGCGGAGTTCAGTGCAGTGCCAACACAAGTACATGAGTTGGAGGTTGATCAGTCAGTGCTGTCACAAATAAGGTCTGTCACATGACAGTTCATAAGTGCTTGTGACATCTCATGCATTGACTCATCATACATGTTCATGGAGCATTATGAATGTCCATGATGCATCATGGGACATTATAGCATTTTACATGATGGGGAAAGGTCAAAATAAACATATGACACTCCATGACACTCCATGAACCTTCATGACCTGTCATGAAAGGTCATGAGGGTTCATGAACATCATGACCACTCATGAACCTCCATGAGGCATCATGTCATATTGTGTCACCAGCAGTCATGAACCTTGTCAGCACATGATGGTTCATGACGGTTCATGAAATTTGGTGACAGTTCATGACAATTTGTCATGAACTGTCATGAAATCCAAAATTTTCAATGTAAAAAATGTCTGATTCAATTCAATTGTCATAACATGTCATGAGGGGTCATGAAATTTCGTGACATGTCATGACTCCTCATGATTTCATGACGCAGGATTACACTTTTGGAGAGTACCTCGGCAAGAGGCAACAGCCTCCAAACAGCACTGGAACAAAGTTCCAGGGACTCATGCTGGCCATGAAGTCGAACAATCATTTGCTCCCAAACCAGGAGCAACTAGTACTCTGTCAAGCTCCGCACTTGGCAAGGTGGCTCTAACCATGGAAAACCATCCAGCTAAACAGCCAGATGAACAAACGAAAATCCAGAGCACAAATTTCTCTGGTAAAGTGGAAACCACTCCACTCTTGCGAAAATGCAGGAACTTGCACACAAAACAGTATGCGAAGCACTGTAAACAATATTTTACAGACCTAAATTATCAATTTGAGGAGGAAACACAGGCTGAAGATGCAAAACATCTTTGGAGAATTTCCCATTGGGAAACCCGATATTTTAAGGACTTCATATATACTTATCCCTATGTATAACACTGCCCACTTTAAAGACATTCACTCCTTTTCCTTTTTTTTCTTTTTATAACTTGATGTACAATGTTGCCCACTTTAAAGTGGCAAACACATTCCTTATTCATTATTCCTTTTAAGCTTAAACTTTCCTTTTCTTTTTATCTTGTATGCGTTGCAACTGCAACGCAAGGGGGGAGAGTGTCAGGGCACAAGCCCTGGGCCTCCCGCGACTACTGGTGGCCTCGGATGGCAGAATATGTCGGGCAATACGTACGTGGATGCGACACCTGTAACCGCGTCAAACCCTTCCCCGCACGGAAGGTTGGGAAGCTCACCCCAAATAAAGTTCCCACCCACCGTTGGCAGGTGATCTCGGTAGACATGGTGGGAGAGCTCCCAGAGTCGAAAGGTTATAACGCCATCCTAGTTGTAGTGGACCGTCTGTCCAAACGCATCCACGCGATCCCCACCGTGACATCCGTGGACTCGGCTGGTATCGCCCGGCTCTTCCTAGAGCACGTCTGGAAGCACCACAGGCTCCCGGAAGAGATCCTTAGCAACAGAGGGAGCGCCTTCGTCTCGCACTTCTCGAAAGAACTTGCAGATCTCCTGGGGGTCAAGCTAACCCCTTCAACGCCCTACCACCCCCAGACTGACGGACAGACAGAGCGGGTTAACCAGGAAATCGAGGCCTATCTTCGGGTGTTCGTCAACCACCGCCAGGACGACTGGGCGGACTGGCTCCCACTGGCAGAATTTGCCTACAACAACCGCGTCCACTCGTCCACCCGTCGAACCCCCTTTGAGCTTGACACCAGGCAGCATCCCAGGATGGGGACGGAGCCCACATGTACATCCGAGGTAGAAGCCGCCGACGCCTTCTCGTCCAGGATGATGAAGATGCAGTGTCAGGGCATGCCCCGACACGCCCCGCCCGATCCCCGCTCCGCCTCCCCGCTCCGCACCGCCTCTCCCTCCTCTCCCTCTTCCTTCCTCCTGTTCTCCTTTCCTCTTTTCTTTCTTTCTCTCTTTCTCTTACACGGACCACCTTTCTCTCTGCTCAATGTATCATCGGCGCACACGCCCATCTCCCCTCCTGTATCTTACATCCCTACACCGCCGCCACCGCCGCCGCGCTCGCCTTGCACCCTCAGCGGGCCCTCTCGGGATCTTCCGTGGAAGCACCCGGAGAGCCATGGCTGTGTGCAAAGGTGATGTGGCGCACCCCACGTGATCATTCCCGCATGTATATAATAACAGCTGGAGTGGGAACCGAAGAAGTAGCCTTCTTCTCACATTTCCACTTCAGGCAAGTAGTGTAGCATTCCCCTTTAATGATGACTCACATTTCCACTTCAGACTAAGTGGTCAGGGACGCTCACCCCGCGACGGGATCGCCGCTACGCATAGCTGTCATCCGTCCCACCGAGTCCCGCACGCTGGGACCTCGCCGCTTTCGGAGCTGTCCCTGACATGCAGGAAGAGGCGAAGGCGGCCCTGGAGCACGCAGCGGACAAGATGGCCCGCTACTACGACCGAGGTCGAGAGACAGCCCCCAAGTACCAGGAGGGTGACCGAGTCTGGCTCAGCGCCCAAAACTATACAACTGACCGCCCGACCAAGAAGCTAGACCATAAGTGGCTGGGCCCCTTCAAAGTTGTCAAGGTCGTCTCCCCGGCTGCCGTCAAGCTCCAGCTCACCGCACAGAAAAAGGGAATCCACCCAGTCGTATCTGTGACGAACGTAAGACCCTACCGCCCAGACGAGATCGCAGAACGACCCCCGACCCCCACCCGGGCCCAGAACTCGTAGATGGAGAGGAGGAATATGAAGTGGAAAAAATACTGGACTCTAAGTGGTTACGCCGGAAGCTCTGGTATTTAGTAAAGTTCGCGGGTTGGCCGAACTCAGAGAATGAATGGCTCCCCCGAGACCAACTAATCCATGCCCCTGACCGGATCGAGGAGTTCCACCAAACACACCCCCACGCCCCAGGAAGGGAGAGAACGAACCCCCTGGCCGCTTCGAGGCGAAGCGGCTTAAGGAGGGGGTGATGTCAGGGCACACCCGCCTGACCCGGGCCCACCCGGCCACACCACACCCGCTCCCCGCTGTCTATCCCCCTCCCCCTCCTTCCTCCCTCTCCTCCCCTTTCTTTTCCCTCTTCTTTCCCCTTTCTTTATTTCATTCTTCTCATCTTCCTCTTCCTGTTTATTTCTTTCTATCTACACGGACCACCTTCCTTTGTATCGATGTACTATTGACCCATCCAGCCCACACACCCCAGACGGCTTCCCACTGTGCCCAGCACGTGCGCATGTAGCGGACGCTCTCGGGATCCCCCACGGGGACACCCAGATGCCTGTGGCTGCCTCCGAGGATGACATGGCACCTGTCATGTGACTCAAGCCGCATGTACATAAATTGTACCTGAAGTGGGAACCGAAGAAGTAACCTTCTTCTCACATTCTCCACTTCAGGTAAGTAGTATAGTTTTCCCCTTTAATAACAATAACACATTCTCCACTTCAGTCTGAGTGGCCAGGGACCACTGTCCCGGATCGGGCCCGCCAGTACGCACGCCCGCTCTACACCCCGCGACGGCCTTAGTGCCGGATATTACCCCCAGGCCCTCTCGACCCCGGATGCATCCCTGACACCGTCACATAAAGAAGAAAAATGGGGTGCAAAAGATGTGCCCCAAAACTTCACTTCCGCCACCAACAATCAACACCGTCCTCACCACTCCATCATTGGAACCGATTGTTGATATTTTAATAATTCAGTTATGAACTGAGTGCTAGTCTGTAATGCTAGTTCTCTCACAAATGGGCCCTAGGTTGAGGTTCAGGGTAAAAAAGTCAGGAGTTGAGCTGTGAATGCTAGTCATAATCAGGATTACTCATTTGAATTGAGAAAATTGAATTGTATGTTCAACTATATTGATTATGTAACACTGATGGTACCTTTACGAATTTGAAATCAAGACCCCTATACAGTCCTCGGAGTCCGGTCCCAGCCTCTATACTAATAGAGGCTGGTAACCTGCCTAGTGTGTATGCCTCAGCAATCTCTTGTTGGGTCATCCTCAGAGACAATGACACCAAGATGTCTTTTTGCACTGTGCTCAAGATGTTTTTTTTTCCCATGTTAGCTAGACAGAGTCAACGGTTTGTTGATGCAAGGGCAATGAGTTTGGGCGCTTAAGCACCACATTTTAGGTGGTGCCGTTGGGGTTTCCATTCAAATCCTAATTTTGGTAGCGGGTTGACTCCACCCCAGATCAAACTTCCATCAAAATCGAAACCGCCAGATTTTTTTTTTTTTTTGCACTTCGCTGCAGGAAAATGGAAATTTCTGACAGAATAATTGCAGAATAATAACATAGACAATTGATTTCAGCACAACTAGACCACAAAATGTACTGCACCTTCTATAAGGGTTAGGGACTTTTTTTTTTCTTGTTCAACAACAACCACTATGAAACTCAAAACATGAAATCAGTCCTCAGCGGCAAAGACTTCCCAGCCTTTACTCCTCTCTACAGCTCTCTGCCATCCTTTCCACCCAATCTCACGTTCCTCCTCAGACAACGTCGGCTTGAACGTTGTGCTTCCCTTGGTGTTCACCTTATCGAACGTTTCGGGACGACGAATGTCCCATCCAAAAAGACCAATGGCGCTACCAGCCAGGAGGGCAGAGCCAAGTGCCGTAGACCTTCAAAGCAAAAACAAAAGGAGATCACCCGTGAGCTGAGCCGTGGAGTTGAACAAAGGGGAAAAAAAAGAAACTTTACTCTCTCATCTCAGGTCTAACGACTTCAAACCCTCCGATATCCGCTTGAATCTGCATGACGATATCCCCATTCGTCATACCTCCATCCACTTTGAGGTGTTTAAGCTCAACGCCCGAATCTGCCTTCATCGATTCGATCACTGCTCGCGTATGGTACGAAACGGCTTCCAGCGTGGCGCGAGCTATGTGCGATGGATTCGTATACTGCGACAAACCTATATATATGTAGACACCGATCGCGAATGCATCAGTTTGGAACAAAAAAACAAAAAAAAAAAAAAAAAAATTAGGTCACAGGTGTTGAAGAACTACCAGTACCCCAACTTACCGATCAACAACCCTCCAGCGCTCGTGTCCCAATACGGAGCGAGTAAGCCTCCAAAAGCAGTGACGAAATAAACACCGCCAGAGGTCTTTTCTTTCTCTGCGAGGATGTTGATCTCTTGTGCCGAACCGATGAGGCCCATCTGATCCCGGAGCCACTTGACCGCACTACCAGCCACGCCAACTGTGAAAAAAAAGAAAAAGAAAAAGAAAAAAAAGGTCATCCGCCATGAGCAATTTCCCCATGTACCACAAAACAATAGGGGGGGTTGGGAAAGAATATAATATGCACTCACTACTCCCTTCAAGGGCGTAGAAAGGTTTCTCGCCTTTAACCCTATAACCCACAGTACTCAACAATCCATTCCGACTCCTCACCACCTCCGTCCCCGTATTAAACAACAAAAAAGCACCGGTTCCATACGTATTCTTCGCCTCTCCTTCTTTAAAGCACTTGTTCCCCACAAGAGCAGCCTGTTGATCGCCTACGATTCCAGCGATCTTCACACCTGCTAGAGGATTCGTAAACTCACGTTGGTGTTGTTGAAGGGTATTCGAAGAGAATGGAGAGATGAGGCCGTAGAATTCGGAAGAGGAGACGATGGTTGGGAGGATAGAAGGGCGGAGGGAGAAGAATTTGAGTAAAGAAGGGGAAAAGGAGAGGTTGTGGAGAGACATGAGGAGCGTTCGGGAGGCGTTGGTGCAATCTATGATGTGAATTCCATTATTGGCTCCCCCAGTGAGATTCTGTTCGGTAAAGGCGACATTCGCATAAATAAAAGAAAAAGACTTTGGGGTTATTGATAACTCACATAGACTACCCATGAGTCGATAGTCCCGAAGAGCAAGTCATCTGCTTCGTGAGCGGCGGCTACATCGGGATAGTGTTTGATCATCCAATGAAGTTTGATCGCGCTGAAATAGGTCGAAAGTTGGAGGCCAGTCCTGTTAACAAATTATGCCGAAGAGACATCAACAAACCCGTCATGATAAATGGTAAATTTCTCCCAATCGGAAGGGGAAAGCTAAATGTTTGAACTTACAGATTGGCGAGGGCATCGACGGCATCCTCCCCTTTATAAACTTTCCCATCGATCTCGATCCCTTCGTTCTCCAACTTGTCCTCATACCTACTGACCTCACCCTTATTCCTATTATCCGTCCAAACAATAGCCCTACAAAGCGGCTTGCCAGTCTTCCTACTCCAAACGACGGTCGTCTCTCTCTGATTCGTGATCCCGACCACTTTTACGCTATTCCTATGATACCCTTTGTCTTCCTCAAGGGATCGAATGGCTTGGACGATGCAAGCTTCGGCGACGTTGACGATTTCGATGGGATCGTGTTCGTGCCAACCAGGATGTGGGTAGTACTGTTTGAATTCGAGTTGATGACTGACGATGATGTTGGCGAAGGAGTCGAAGAGGATGAAGCGGATGGAGGTTGTTCCGCAGTCGAGTGCGCCTACGAATTCGCCTTGTTTGAGATCCGATGACATTATATTGGTGGGGGTGGGGGGGGGGGTTTTGCGTGAGAACTTTGTTGTGATGTTGAAGTTAAGGTTTGGTGGGGGGAGGGGGGAAATAGTCCGTGTCGGTACTAGTAAGGCGGGGGGAGCGAATATGGATCGGACAGTTACTGGAGCTAGGACGAGTCAGAAGTCGACTTGTGGGGAAGAAACCAGAGTCGTAATCGTGAAAGAGATTCGGTCAACCCATCGGCTAATAATGGATTGTCATGTGAGATAGAGACTGTGGAACTTTGCATGCGAGGGAAAGGAAAGGAAGGAAAGACAGGTGATGACGGGTTCGGACGCTCGCTAATGATCGATGCATGGGGATAATACCGTGACGCTTTTGGGCATTAATATTATTGATTGCAGGTGGCTTGAAAGTGGAACCGAATCTTTCAATGGCGACCGATCAGATCATGCGATGCAGAAAACGGATCCTAGGTCATTTGAGAATGTCATGAGTAGTGAGGCCATAAAAGTGAGTGTGTGGGTATCTTGCCAGGCCAGATCGTGCAAGTGGAAATTACATATATCAGTATATGCACACATTCTTGGATGTTTGTTGCATGTGGTACAGTGCAGTCCCGCGCCGTATGTGATAGGGCTAGATAGGGATGGATTTCCAGTTTGCACTCTCACAGCCTGAACTAGCAACCGGGATCAACCACCGCGCGCGCAAAGAACAACGAATCATACTCCCCACCTCGACACGCTATATTGCAAATACCCGTGGGAAAACCAAAAACTATGATCGCACTGCCATAAGTTGGAGCCCGCCACACCAATATGAAAGCCGCTGATGATTGAGTCCATTCTTGCCCGGCCACGAGCACCGATCTCAATTTTATGTACACAGCCTCTATCATGCAATTGTCTTTTCATTGGCTCGCTTCCAATATTGCAAGGGCGGAGTCGCCAACAGCTACTAGTACTGGTCCGTACTTTGCACTATATGGAGTAAGTAACATCGTGAACCTTATCACGATGGATCGTACTGATGAAACGCGTTGGCTTGACCTTTGATCTTCCCACATGATCAACTTTGAACTAAGGTCTCTCGCTTGCTCGCCACAAAGATACGATCACCGTGATGGTCCCTTCTTTTGGTGGCTTTTCTGGAGGCTTATCATGACAAATCCTCTTTGGTCTCCTCCTCTTAAGATCCGTCCTTCTCGGAGCCTTTACCTTGGCTACGGTTCTTGCCCCCCCCCCACTCCCATTTTCGTTTCGTCTCTCCATTCCGCTATCTAACGCCAAGAGCCAAGTCGTTAGATAGCCGCCCACTTCACCCGTGCAGCCACGGAATAAGCGCCCATTTATATCACCAACCAATCGCTCCCCCCCGCAGCTAGTACTCCCCCTATCTTAGTCTCCGGTTAATCTCTCTCCACTAGTATACTTGCTCTTCGAACGAGCGTCTCAGTGACTCACCATGACCAGTCCATCCTCGACTCTCGATCCTACGCTCAATTTCGGATCTCGCCTCTCTGCCTCTCGATACGCCATGACTTGTGCCCTCACAATCGCAGCATGGGATACACTTGGTCAGTACTCGTTCACTCGAAAAATCGACAAACCTCATATACAATGGACTCATATAATGTTTTGATCGAAATGTGTGATAACAGTCTTGACGTCCCGTACCTGGCATGTCACCAGAACAAAAGAATGGCCTCCCGTGAAAATCGTACTTCTCATATTGCGATACCTCATGCCAATAGAATATATCATCCTTGGTGCGTATCCTTTACTGCACTCTATCTTGTAATAGCCTGAAAATATTCCAAAAAAAAAAAGGAGTGATACACTTCAAACGGTCCATCCAACCTTCAACCTGTAACCGTATCACCCCTCTCGAACCCATCATGACTGCATCCCTCCTTCTCCTCTCATCCTTTGCTCTAGTCCTAATCATCACATCCTCTCCTTCCCCCAACTCGTCTAGGATGTCTCAATCCCCAAATCTCACTACCACCAACCATCCTATCACTAACACAATAATCCCAACCATTAATCCCTCCCCAACTCCTATCACCCCTTCCCAACGTTTCAAATCCTGCTTCAACACCCGCCTCAAACTGACATTTTCCTCTCTCTTCGTCCTCCAACTCATCTCCCACATCGCCGGAGCGATATCCTTCCAGAACATAAACGTAGGCCGAGGTAAAGGGTGTATCTCAGGTTTGGGGAAGGGCCGAACTTGGGCTGGGATATTTTATTTGGGCGCAACGCTCGTCTATTTGGGTGCTTTTGCGTGGGTCGTGAGAGGATCGGTGGCCAGCTTGAAAAAGCGGCCGATGAGCCTTTGGAAGGTTTTTGTGAGAGATTCGTTAGGCCTGTACGGGGTATGTTCTTCCCCCCCCCCCCCCTTCCCCTTTTTTTTTTATTCCAGTATTTCCAAATCAACTAACGAGTGGACCATTCCACCATTTTTTGTTTTTTGTTCTTTTTTTTTCAGACGATAGCTTTTGCAAACCTTACCAATACCCTTTTCGTCTTCATCGCTACGCCTAGGGATAACACGGATCCTATCAGAACGGTAACCTCTTCTTTATCGACGGCCCTCACCGTCACTGCAACGATGCGCATCGTATTGAGTCGGACGTCCAGAGATGGGACTATCCATCTTGACTACAGTCACCCCAGTTATAGTAGCCGCTCTGCCGGGACTGGGACGGGAACGGGGACAGGAGCGGGGACAGGAATGGGAATGGGAATGGGGACGGGAACGGGAACGGGGACGGAAGTAAGCCGAAGGAGATCTTCCTTTAAAAAGGGCCACATCGACAATAATGCCAGCCGCCGCCAAGCGGACAGAATCTCTCTCGGTAGCATTCACGGCGGTGTCACCAGGTCGGGTAGCGGGAGGAGTAGCGTCGATTCGAACATGACGACCAATTCCATACTGATCATAGAGCCCGATCACACGATTCAAACGACTCATCTACCATCGTCTCCGCACCTTGTGATCCCTAATGGCTCTAAACACAATCTGCCTTCGTCAATAAGAACTTCAACGAGAACGAGAACGCCAACGCCGAATAATACTCGTTCTCGCGCCCGTTCTGCTTCGCCGAGATCCCAATTGACTAGTAATGGCTTACGCACACCTCCACTATCGCCACGCTCTCAAGTGGACATATCCCTCTTTCCCCCTCCCCCCACCCACATATCTCAACATTACCCTCAGACACCACAACACAACGCCAGTCCCAGAAAGAACATCGATGGTACGGGTACCACTGCCGCCCAACAACAACAACACCAACAATCATCACAACCATCCCAATCCATTTATGCTTATACTCGCGACGACATGATCATTAAGCGCCTCTCATCGAAACCGGCATCCCATTCTCATCCTCTCTCTATCCCCTTGTCCATTCCCATTCCCACTCGAGCTCGAGCTCATCAAACTCGTGTCGTCGTCAAGGACAGAAGTCTAAATCGAGACCGAGACCGAGACCGCGGACACCCGCTACTTGCGCTCTCCAGCAAGGATCCCTTGACGAGCGATAATATATCTCGAATCGCACCGGGGAGCAGCTGAGAAGGGAAGAAGGGAGATTTGGGACATGACTTGAGATTCAAAACGACCGTCCCTCCCCCTCCCCTCCTATCTCATCCGTATACCCAACCCTCTTGCACAACTGCCCACCCACACACCATCAGCTCACTTCGCCTCTCCATATGAGAACCACAAAAGCCTTGGCCCCCCTGCTTTTTTTGTTTCTGTTTCTGTTTCCTTTTTTTCTTTTCTTTTTCTTTTTGAATACTTGGCGGCAATGAACCTTGCGGATTTTTTATTATTTTTTTGTGTCTTAAAGTTGGAGCAGCGTCGCAAGAGTTATTTTATTTTATTTTTGTATGTGTTTGTTTCTGGGGATGACACAACCACCTACCACCACCCACCACCACTAGCCAAAAAAAAAAAAAAAAAAATCGTTCTCAAACTTCCCCCATGGCCATCAATGAACTCTACATACATCATTCAGTGCTTAATAATCTCCCTGACGGCGATATATATCATAGCACTACTTGCTCGATCTTGCACCATTCCCTTCTTTTTTTTTTTTTTTTCTTTTCTTTTTCACTTCCTTCGGTGTTTACCTAGCTTTTCACTCTTTGAATGTGTATTGTACCGTACGTCACAAATAGAACCAGGCGGCCACTATTGTTATGCATGATGGTTCCCGGGTCCCCCCAAAGTGAATGATTGAGCTTGTGCCAACCGCCACCTGAATGCTTAGGACAGTGAGAGTAATAGCCGCGGTGCCGCGGTTCATTTCTGGAGCGATTTTTTTCAGAACCGGTTCCAAAATTTAGTGATGGTTGTCGAATCAGTGAACTGAACCATTATTTGGTTCTCATGGAGTTCAGTTTGATCCCTGGAATGGTTCGAACCAAGCTTTGATGAGATGTCATAATTTCAATGAAATATCATATTACGTTCAGCATTGAGGGTGCCAGTGCGTGGAGTCTGCATGGCGACCTTTAAATTTTCTGCGAGTTTGAAAACGTTTTAGAATATTTTGGGCCTGTTGGGTAAGTTGCAAATTATATAAGGTTCTACTTGTTAAACCTGGTAAGGGGAGGGAATAGGGTGTCCAAGGTGGCCACGTCCCGCTTACATAAAGGTAACCAGGTCAGCTAGCAAAGGGACGGAGGCAAAGTCACTAGATAACAGCTTGCACGACTACATATGACCTCTACATGGGGGCATAGGAATACATAATAAATGGCACAGTGTCAAAAAACAAATAAAGAAACAAGAGCGTGTCCGTAACATCGGACTAGATATATGTATGTACCTGGCAGAATATACAAGAGTGAAAATGATGACGAAAGCGGCCACGATAGGACGACGTTAACGTGGGTCCCGGAAAGAGAATCAAAGCTGTTTGACGGTTAGAACAGCAACGACTCCGTCTTGAGAGATGTTATGATTGATGCCTAACAACCCAGGAACTTTCGTCAAACCCGAACGTTGCGATGACTTGACAGCGTTTTTTTTTTTTTACTTACCTTCTAAGCCAGGTTTTAGTAATCCTTCTTTCCACTCAACGTCAGCCTTCCACCAGCGGCCCTGGATTTGGCAGTCAAGATCAGGATACAAGAAATCAATGGGAAGGCACACTATACCTGATAACGACTGCCTGCAACGGCCTTCTCCACCAACCAATCCCGGCCTTTGTTATAACCATCATCTACGATAAGATGGCCCTCGCCAAGATATTTCTCCTTCGAAACTCTGATTGAGGGAGTCACAACATCCGTTAAACCGGTTTTGTCACGCTCGATGAGCAAGGGAAACTTTAGACATACGCTAGGAACCAGGCGCCTGTGTTAGCCTCTGTGCCGTTTTGTTTCCAGCCGCGGAAATGCTGTCCGCCTGAATATATCGCAATCAAGAATTAGTGGGTGGAGAGGATGTAAGCTCAACTGTCAACATACCAGCAAGGCTCTCCCAGCAAGTACCGAGGATAGGGAAGTAATGCTGACGGAAGAGGAGCTGCTGAGGGTGGTATCCGAAACCATCACTGTTGGCTGCCGCTTCAGCGATAGACATGGAAGATGCAGGAGGAAGGTGACGCACCCTAGATTCGCCTGCTGATGGCCACCGCGATGCTGTTTCATACATTCTTCATTGTATCCCAGCGAGCTGATGTGGCAAGACCAGATACGATTAGAAACCGTACCGAAAAATATGCCGTTGTATTAGGAACACCCACCGCATATAGTTGCGGAAGCCCCAATCTGTCAGCACGTAATCGTGTGACTTTGCCGAGACAATGACATTAAGAGGTTCGCCTTGAGGAGTAATCCGTGTTTCAGTATCTCATCTAGATAATTTATAAGGTCTTGCGCTAAGGAGATCCGTACCAAGAGTCTTGGTGGCAATCTAAGAGGAGAGTAAATCAGGTCCCCACTGAAGCGACACCCTGTGAAACTCACATCGATCATACTCCCGCCACCGATCTTAGGGTCGCGCCATCCCTCCGGAAATTCTGCTGGAGCCTCTAAAGTTTTCTGGCTAGGAGAAACTAACAACACATTCGTCAGCCAAAGGCGTTGGCTAGGAGCGGATGGTCTGCACACACATTGAAGGTCGAGAAAAACCCTCAGTAAGCTCGGGAAAGCAGTTGAAGTTGAGAAGAGGGTAAATGACAGGCTCGACAAGACTAGGAATCGCATCTTGATTGCGAGGAAAGGTAGAGGAAAGGGGCCTTGCGCTTTTGCACTATAGGTCACCTGCCGACTTGTAAGTAAACCCAGTCACGTGAACAGCCCATGTGCGATCCCGGTTTGGAGTCAATCCCATGAGCGTTGACTAGACAACAATTTGTGCGCAGCCAACCAAGTCAGTGGATGACGGGTAGAGGGAGGGCGGTTATACAGAGGAATTGTGATCATGTGATCATCGGTGCTTTGATTCTTTTGGATGTTAGGCTTGCACCCGACCATCAGGGACACTCACAAAAGTGAGACTTTCCCAGCGACTTTTGGATTATTACTTAGCACCCACTGTTAGTACCACTCAGGATGACAACTCGTTCCGGAAAAGCCTCGGCAAAGTTGGATTGGTACTTTTTAGAAAACGAGAACATGTAAATGTGAAGTCGGTTGTCGTGGCTTCGGTTTCAGTACTTCAAATTTGACGATTCATTGCCGCAAAAACATAGCTTTAAACTAGAGCAGCACAGGACACAATGAGTGTCAGCACTCATAACGTGCCCACTCGCACTTCCAGATCAGCCGCAACAGTACTGCCTCACACCTAGCATTCATTTCTCCGCTCGGTCAGCATGCAATGAAAGGGCCTCTCGCATAAGGCCAAACTCTATCCTCGAACCCAGATGGTGATTGATACATGTGACCCGGCGATTGCCGATTTTGAAACTGTAACAGCAGTTAGAACCATCCCGATATTCCATTCAACCTTGGGGCTCTATCATGGTCGGCGTTCGAGACATCAGGTTTGCTTTCCTCAAATTTTGAAGCGCTACTCTAATCTAACCCTGGGTTACCGCTGCAGCGCTGCTGCATTTATCCATGCCTACGCTCTACATTTGAAACGCTCAGGGAAGCTCGAGATTCCGAACTGGGTTGACATTGTCAAAACTGGCCACTTCAAAGAACTGGCCCCAACTGATCCCGATTGGTTTTATGTTCGTACTGGTTCGTTAAATTATCTCAAATTTGTAACATATGAACACGTATATCTGATATTGTGGTGTTCACTTATGCTCCCTTACCCTCACGGTGCCATTCGCGTACCCAAATTGTATCATGTTGCCCATAAACCATAAACAGCCTCCATCGCCCGGCGCATCTACCTCCACAAAAGTGTTGGCTCAGCTTTCCTGAAGAAAGCTTATGGCGGCCGTAATCGTCGTGGTTTCCGCCCACCACACCGTGCTGAGGGGTCTGGCAGTATCCAGCGGAAGGCATGTCAGGCTCTCGCAAAGCTTGGTGTTTTGGCAATTAGCCGTGACGGGGCACGAAAAATTACTCAGGACGGCGAGCGTGACTTAGATCGGATTGCCGCTTCGGTGCATCAATCTATCAAAGCAAAAAGACCGCGCAAGAAGAAGGTAGGAAAAGGCGAGGAGGAAGGAGACAAGGAGGAAGCTGAGGAAGATATCGAGGAGGAGGCAGAAGATGATGAGGAATAACTCACTCTTTCCTCATTTCATTGTCTGTTTCTCTATTCCATGTAATATGCCATGACGCCTCATTCCCCAATGCACCTTCATGCCCCAAAACTTGACCATCTGCTTTGCCTCTTACAATACGCTCCCCCCCTCAGGCTTACGATTATGAATGAAATTATCTGTCAAAGCCCTGAAGACGAACATACAGATCTCCATACAGGATATTGTCTGTAAATGAGCGCAATGAATTCTATCACTCTGAAACTTCACCGTCGACGTCCCCGTACGGCCTCGCGCGGAAATAGCTTTCATCAAAGTGGTGAACACGGACAAACCCGTCTTCTCCTCCAGATGCATATGACCTCCCATCAGGGTGGCATGCAATGCTATCATAACGGAGGGGCGATTAACTATCGTTACGCTTGGACTCAGGACTGGAACTTACGTGTTGATTGGGCCGAAGTGGCCTTTAACACGACCGACTTCTTCCTCAAAAATTTTGTGCCAAAACCGTGTTTCAAACTTTCCTTGGCGAAGTGAAGTTGTCGTGACTGACATTGCCTCCTGCCCACCTCCAAGAAGGATCTAAGCAAGTACCATAAGAATGCGTGTTTCAAAGCAGCTCAGGCAGACGCTCACATATGGTCGAAGTTGAGCAATGGAAGCGCTATTGAGGGGAGTTTCGGTGGCAAAACTTTTAAGGGTTGCGAGTGATTTAATGTCATGCAACTTGGAAAATTATTCCTGTCACCGAATCGTGAAGAAAATCGGGAGTCACACGACACTTACTTTTGCAGTCTTGTCCCTCGAAGAAGTGATGAAGTAGCTTCGGTCGAGGGACAACTGTAAATCAGTGATTAAATCAGAATGCGCTCGCTCATGGCTCTTTATTTCGTCCCCAGTCTTCAAATCCCAGAGTGCCAGCTTGCCGCTCTCGTGGCCAGTAAGTATGATGTTATTATTCTGAGCAAACGTGCAAACAGTGGCCTTGCTGCCGATTGGGTTGAACTCGCTGTAAAGTTCGGCGGTTTGTTGCGTTCCGTCTCCCTGGCGATTAACATTAAAAATGCGGACAGCGCCTTGGTGTCCCATGCGTTGTTCTGTTATGCAAACTATTTGCGAGTCATCCGGGGAGAAGGCTACCCGCTTTACAGCAGTAGGGAATTCCCAGGTGTAAAGGCATCGGCCATTGGAGACATTCCACAGTCGCATGGTATTGTCAGCTGAGCCGGTAACAAGAAAGCGCGTTTGTGCTAATATAAATTCAGCCTGTTAGATGTAGGACATAAGGACAGATCGGGTAACAAAATCGCTCACAATCTACATCCGCCGACCACACTGAGCCGTTGTGTCCATCATAAGTCCCTAATCTCTCCCCATTATGCGAGTACCAGACATTGATAACAGAATCCTTGGAACAGGAGAATAGCAAATCGCCCTCTCTGTTGTACTTGATCTGCGTCAGTGGCCGTTGATGCCCTGAACAGGGATGTGGTGTGAGATGGTACCCAAGAAGGACAGAGTGGTCAAGCCAACCTTGAAGTAGTATTGGGATCTATTACGTTTCAAAAAATTGCATCTCAGTTTTAAACCCTTTCTAGCATAACCAACCGTCCTACCATTTCGCTGAGGTTTTGAGCAAGCAGATGTTGCACGTGACCAACTCTGCTATTCCGCCGACCCGAACCCATCCTTACCAGGGGCCTCGACGATGGATGTCAGTCGAGGGGGAGTTCTGCCACCACAGCGAACACCCGGCACGGGCCTAAACCTTCACGCGGTGCCCCTGTTTAAAACTAATTAGGCCTCTAACATCTGAAGGGAGGATGACGTGGCCACCGTGGTAATGCCAATCAACCGCAACCCCGTAAGCCCAGAGCCGCACTGGCTGGAGAGATGCAAGAGCGCGGGTGCATGTCCCGCCGTCAAGCCAACCCTTCCTTTTTCTTCTCACCACTACCTTTTTGGGATGACGAGCGCGATAGTGGCAACGCCAATGGTGACCTCCGTAAGCCCAGACGGGACTGGCCAGAGGACTGTGGGTTCAAGTCCCACCGTCACCCCAACCCTTCCTTCTTTTTCTCTTCTCCACTACCTTTTGGGATGGTGAGGTGCAATCGTGGTAGCGCCAATGGTAGCCTCCATAAGTCCATGGGCAGGCCGGAGGAGTGCAGGTTCAAGTCCTGCCATCACCCCAACACCCTTCCGATTCATCTTTCTCTCCACTACCTCTTCGTGACGAGGCGCGATAGTGGTAGCGCCAACGATAGCCCCATATGCCGACAAAAAGTTGACTGCAAGGAATGCAGGTTCAAGTCCTGCCGTCACCCCAACACTTTCATTTCTCTCCACTACCCCTTCTACCAAAGGCCTATCTGCCACATGCCTTTATTCAACAAGCATGAGCAAGATGCCACCAACACCCATCGCCTTTCGCTGCCACTGGAACATTCACCAGCCTACCGTGACATAAACCCGTGAAAGCACCCTCCAACTCACCCACCCGCAAGAACCGCGCACTCAACCATTGACTTAACCATAGGCACACAGCAGCAAAACATGCGACCCCAACACTGGGGGTCGCGTGTCCTTTTCTCTATCCAATCTCTTTCCACCTTCATTCTCCCTCACCCGTTGTTCAATCTCAGTGCAGGGGTCGCATGCCCCTTTATGTGTTATTGCTTCATCTCACTTTATTCTCCTTCACACCATTGATTACTCGATGTCTCATACTTCCTAGGTCAAACAAATTCCTTCTTCACATCCTTATGTTCTCCACACTTTTTTCACCCGAGTCACTATAGTACGGCATATGCCGATAGGCACGGTTACGTACTCTAAAATGAATCCATCCATCCATCCATCCATCCATCCCATCCTTACCAGCCCCAGCCCAATGTCTGTTCTATCAACCATGCACCGCTTCCGCACCTTCCGCAACCTCTGTCCATTTCTGGTTGTACACAAGCTCGTATGTTAGCCGAATTTGATTATTGCAGCGCGCAACCACTTTCTTTGCTCCTTGCGGCCGCGCTGGATCACTAGCATGACGTGGGACATGACCTATGTTGAATGGTTGAATGTGTATTTGTCACTTCACTGCCTGATCTCTCGCGCGGGAACCAAGTTGTTCGACCTTCCATAAGAAAAGGAATAAATTGCCCGATGCCTTGTGGGGATCGCATGCCCCCGAGCCGCGCGGCGTTTTCTTGAGTATCAGCACCTGTGTCTCCCGACCAATCTGTTCTCTTCCATCGATCCGTCCCTCAATGTCTCTCAGGCAGAAGACAGACGCTCTTAGGCGGAAGATCGATGGCCTCCTTGCAGCAGGCGGCGACATGGCAATCCCAATCCTCACAGCCATTGACTCTGCATCCGCTTCATGTCCTCCTCTAAAGGCGGCCACTGGTAGCGCACTCTTCATCCTCATTGAGGTCCAAGTGGGCAATAATTCGGGTTGAATCGTGAACATGAAAGAGCTTACAATTCGAGTTATGCAGAATTTTAGGGAAAATAAGAAAGAGTGGGGTGATTTTGGGAAATACGTAGTTGATGCTGTAGCCGATGTACTTGCAACCATCGAGTCCTATGACACGTCGACGGAGGAGCAAAAACCTTGGCTAGAGAGTGTCATAAAGCTTAGCGAGTGGGTACCATCGGTTCTCATATGTTTCATTGTCCCAATTATGTGGCACCCCACAGTGTACTGCAACAGATCAAGAATGAGATCGGTCGAATCCTCACAAAAATGGAGAAACGGTCTGCTATCATGAACGTATTGTCGCACTTGAAGCGTCCGAGAAGAATTGATGGCTTAAAGAAAGTTCTCAACGAAGCCTTGGCATCATTTCAGGTAATTCTCTCTCGCGTTGTTGTTTCTTTGCCCCCCCTGACGTTGTGGTTGTGTAGCTGAGGACTAACCTAATAACTGGCGCTCAACTAACATACATAGTAAGCGGTCAAGACCGCCTGAGTCGCAGGATAGAGAACGACTCCGTTCTCAATGAGCTTCGATATCCAGCTGTCGCCCACCATGACCCAACTGAGGGGTGCCTGGAAGGCACCAGAATAGAACTCATCGAACACATTATGACTTGGTGTCACAACACAGAGGATGGCGAGAAGCGGGTGATGCTGCTCACTGCCGTGGCGGGCGCTGGTAAGACGTCCGTCGCCCACTCGATTGCAGAGAAGTGCACCAGAGAAAGGACACTGTTGTTGATCTTCTTCTTTAAGGCAGGCGAGCAATCGAAGCCGGATCGTCTGTTCAGCGGGATGGCTCGGTCCCTAGCAATGCACGACCCTGTGTATCGTGCCTCCGTCATATCCGCTCTTCAGGACGATCCAGCTCTCACGACGGCGCCATTCACAGTGCAATTCGAGAAATTGGTGGCCGAACCTCTTCGCCTACACGCCCTGCCTTCCAGACGTCCGATGGTGATCATCATTGATGCCTTGGATGAATGCGAGGCTCGTGAATTCGAGCGCCTTGCCGACATAGTTGGGCAGGGAATCCCCAAATTACCATCCAACATAAAATTTTTTGTCACATCGAGGCAATTCGACCTTGTCGATCGTTTCCTCTCACCTTATTCCCTTATTAATCGCCTCAGCATCAATCTAACGGACAAGGCTAACGTGCAAGATTGCGCTATATACATTCGTACGCAGCTGCGTAAACTCAAGATTGTACATGCACGTTTTGGAGACGAACTTGAAGACGACGATAAATTGGTTCAAGAAATTTTGGAACGTGCGGGTGGCTTGTTCATTTGGATCAGTACGGTCTTCCGTTACATGAAGCTGGCGAGTGGTGCTCCTACGAGAATGCTGAAGAAATTGCTCGATACTGGTGCCAATCGGTTGAAGGCTTCTGCGGAGGAAATGATGGATGCACTGTATACAAGCATCTTGGAGAAGTGTAATTGGAAGGACGAAGATTTTGTACACGACTACCCAATTGTGATGGGAGCAATCTTAGTCGCACAACAGCCATTGTCTGTTATGGCTTGGGATGCCATTCTGTCACCTCTCTTGGATTCCTCCATCCATTGCACATTAGCTGAACTTGCTCCCCTTCTCTCGGGGGTCGAGGCTGGGGAAACTCAGACGCCAATCCGTATCCTGCATCAATCCTTGCGTGACTTTGTCATGGACCGAATCGATCCACAATCACCCACGCTTTGTCGTTTCCTGGTGGATTCGAAGAGGGAGAATGCTAGGGTAGCGCTGCGCTGCATCGAAATACTGAATATGGATCTTTCCTCCACGGAAGGTTTAGGGCTAGTTCGAGATTCGTTCGGAAGGGCTGAGCTGCTGCCCATTCCCTCAGACACCCTTCCCGAACAATTACGTTACGCATGTCGGCATATCGTGTATCATCTCAACCAAGTTCAGGACCCGCTGGAGATGCTCAATGAATTGGTCCGCACATTTTTGAACCAACAAATATCGCGCTGGGTGGAAGTCTGTGTGAGAATGGGAGGGTACATCAGTATTTCGGCACTCCCTGAGTGGGCCAAGGTATGAATCATCCGGCTCATGAGGATGTCTTACTCAGTCTCATGTTCTTCAGGTAAACGTTAACCTGAGTTCAAAGGAGACCATTCAGTCGTTGGTCAAGGTACTCGACAATATGAGAGGGAACGTGGCATTCCTTTCAAGATTCCAGGAAGCATATGAGTTGGCGAAGGATTCTGTTGCACTCTACCGTTGCCTTGTGTCAGCGGACCCAGAGGTTTACACCCCCGATTTGGCCGAATCGCTGGGGGACCTTGGCGTGTCACTCAATAGTCTTAGATGGTATTCCGAGACGCTTCCGGTAATGGAAGAAAGTGTCAATCTCTGGCGTCAGCTAGTTGCTGCTTGTCCGAAATCGCACACCCCGGGATTGGCTCGGTCACTCCACCGTCATGGTGCATCACTCGAGAACCTTGGACGACATTCTGAAGCGCTCACGGTGATTGAAGGAAGTGTCAAACTTTGGCGCGAGCTGATTACAGTTGATCCGACATCATACCTCCCAGACTTAGCTAAATCATTAGGGGATCTGAAGATATCACTGGGCAATCTTGGGCAGCATTCCGACTCACTCCTCGTGGGTGAGGAATGTGTCAAACTTTGGCGCAAGCTAGTTCCCATTCATCCGACATTATACACGCCAGATTTGGCTCAATCGCTCCAGAGTCTCAGCATATCATTCAACTATCTGGCACGGCACTCCGACTCACTCCCAGTGATCGAAGAATGTGTTAAACTCTGGCGTGAACTGGTTGCTGTTCATCCAACGTCATATACCCCGGATTTGACTCGATCCCTTCACAATCATAATGCATCACTCGTGAACCTTGGATGGCACTCTGAATCTCTCGTGGTGATTGAAGAAAGTGTAAAGCTTTGGCGCGAGTTAGTTGCCGTCCATCCAACATCATACACACCAGATTTAGCCCGATCTCTCCGAAATCTCAAGGTGTCACTTGACAAACTCGGACGACATTCCGACGCGCTCGCAGCAATCGAAGAAAGCGTCGACCTCTGGCGTGAACTCGCTGCTGTTCATCCAACATCATACATTGCGAATTTAGCTCGATCACTTGGGAACCTCTCATGGTCACTGGACAAACTCGGACGCCATTCCGATGCGCTCCCGGTGATCGAAGAAAGTGTCAAACTCTGGCGCAAGCTAGTTTCCGTTCATCCAACCTTGCACACACCTGGCCTGGCACGATCTCTCCGGAATCTCAAGCTGTCACTCGACAATCTTGGGCGGCATTTGCAGGCACTCCTAGTGATCCAAGAAACTGTCAAACTTTGGCGTGAACAAGCCTCCGTCCATCCGACATCGTACACCCATAATTTAGCTCGATCACTTGGGGATTTTTTGTGGTTCCTCGACAAACTGGGACAGCATTCTGAGGCGCTTCCGGTAATTGAAGAAAGTGTCAAATTGTGGCGCGAGCTTGTTGCAATTCACCCGACATCATACACCCCAGACTTGGCTCGATCCCTTCACTACCTTAAAGTCTCACTCGAAAATCTCGGGCGGCATTCCGAAGCTCTCGCAGTGATTGAAGAAAGTGTCAAATTATGGTGCGAGCTTGTTGCCGATCACCCAACGTCATACACCCAAGATTTGGCTCGATCCCTTCACGATCTCAGTTGTTCATTCTACAACCTTGGTCAGCATGCGGAGGCCGTGTCATTCATTGAAGAGTCTATCTTGCTTTGGCATTCTCTACTTGTTACTCATCCAACCTCATATACCTCTGATTTAGCCATGGCATTGCAATCTGCATCAATCACGTTTTCATCCCTGGGGCGCTACGGAGATGCGCTCGACATGGGTGAATCATACTACCGCCAGCTTCATTCTGAATACCCTGAGGCCTATGTACATAAGCTTTGAGGGTCATATTCCTGCATCATTGATGCGTTGGAGGGTCTTGGGAGACAGGATGAGCTAATGGTTGCACGTGCCCTCATGGAAAAATCATGATGGTGGTGTCATGCAAATTAACCGTGCGCAGCTTCTTCACATCAGAAAGCATGTCGAGTGCAGTCATTTCCCATCTAGGTTGTGGATAATATTCGGATTCTTCACTTTTTGCGCCACTTTGATATTGAACACATATCTAATTGATAAGGCAGTGGCGGCGCCCCGCAGCCAAGGGAAAACTATTAGATAAAATAGTTCTTGGTTGGATGTGCACGGACTGGGTATTGTATATCCATCAACCATTAGTTACATGAATGCATCCCCCTTGGTGCACCACATATATTTCCTACCACTTGTGGTAAGCAGTGTTTGTGGTAGGGGCATGTTACTAATGCGGACTAGAATGAAATAACACTCAGTCTCGCGGTTGTGAACGCAATGAGAACTAATAATTGGGTATATCTACCTAGAATGAAATAACACTAGGTGAAGATTTAGAATAAGTAAATGAGTGAATATAATAAAAGGTATACCGACCTCAGTCTCGTGGTTGTGAATGCAATGAGAACTGAGGGCGTCAGCAAAGTAAACATCGAGCTTTTAAGCATCGATTACTCGAATGTAACAGGAGTGAAAGTCATTACAAATAAAGGAAAGTGAAGCGACCAACAGGTCGGATAAAGGAGGATAAATGTTAAATAAACATATAGTGATAAGACAGTAGAGACCAACTAGAAATAAACCTAACATCAATCATCGGGCATCTCACCGAGATAATGTAGGTCGGGTATCCTTGCGCTAAGTGTCGAACCAACCGTTGCTGTCTTACAACACACCCACTCAGCGATGGGTGACTCGACGCAAACCCAGCTCTCCTCGGAACTTCTCTAACTTGACAATGGGGAGAGCTTTCGTGAAAATGTTGGACACTTGATCGGCGGTTGGGACATATTGGAGTTCCAAAGTTCCGCTTTTGATCTTCTCTCGGATCCAGTGGTGGCGAACGTCGATGTGCTTCGTTCGGGCATGGAATACGGGGTTCTCGGCAAGGGCGATGGTGGATTGGTTGTCGACAAAAATGGTAATGGGTGAATCAACGGGAATTCCAGAGGAGTCGTAAAGATGATCCAAATAGACTGCCTCCTTACCGGCATGGGTTGTCGCCATATACTCCACCTCAGTACTTGACAATGCAATCGTGGGTTGCTTCTTGGATGACCAGGCAACCACGGCCCCACCATAGATGAAACAATACCCGGACACGGAGCGTCGGGTGCTCGAGTCGCCAGCCCAGTCGGCATCAGAGAAGCCAGTTAGTCCTTCCTTTACCTTCTTCCCATCAAAGACCAGAGCATAGTCACGAGTTCCGTTGAGATAACAAAAAACTCGTTTGATTGCCATGAGATGTTCTTTTCCAGGAGCAATCGCGTGCTGAGCGAGTAGACCCACAGCGAAGGATATGTTGGGACGAGTGCTGACAGAGGCGTACATGAGTGAGCTGAGCATAGATTGGTAGAGGTGAGTGTTGACTTCAGGGGAATTTATTTTGTTTAATTTCAAGTTAGCAGACATTGGAGTGCTCATCGATCGAGCCGTCTCTAGTCTGAATTGCGTGAGAATTTCAGTCACGTACTGGCGTTGGCTAATGGTCATGGTTCTCGCCGTTTGATCACATGTGATTTCCATCGCGAGAAACCAATGGACTTCGCCGAGGCCACGCATCTCGTAGCGCTCGGTGATTTCCAACTTGACTTTCGAGATGTCATGCTTAGGGGCAATGACGAGTAGGTTGTCCACATAGACCAGGACAAAATGTGAGTCCTTTGAGCAATATAGGCAAGGATCATACCCTGATTGTTTATATCCCAATGTCATATCCATTCCCGGCCATCGACTTCCGGTCCCTCCGATTCCTCCGTTCCAACTCCGCTCCTCCCTCACTAACCTCGGAGCCCCCGTTATTCCACAATCCTCTTGGTACCCCTCGATGGTCACCACCCCCCCATTCCAATTTATTACCTACGCCTCCCTAAGTACGGAGCCCCGAAGACTTCCGGACAGCTCCGACATCCGCTAGCGCACCCCCGCCTCCGCTGAGCAATACACTCGCCTGCCCTGCAGAGTCCACCTTCGGGCTTATCCCTCCTTTCCGTTTCTGGGTTATCGCCTGCCTTTCCGCTAACCCCGTGAACCGACTCGTCGGTAATATTCAGTCGGCTAATGGTTAAACCCCGTTAGCTCCGCTCCGTTCGGCTCCGCCAATTGCGGAACCGTCTCCGCTGTAACCATATATATATCCCACTTGTACATAGGTTACGCCCCAGTAGAAAAATCAACTAGAGTTCCCCCCTAGGTTCTAATTGCCAGTCAGTAAGTTAGGGCATGGACGTGTCACTAGGCACAGCGCTCCTGGCAGAAGTCGCTGAGGCCGAAGCCCTCCATTACGGAGACATTCTTTCGTCTCAAGTCTGGTCTCTGACACCCAACGACTTTAGGTAATCGCGAAGCGTGCGGTACCACTCGAGTCCAGCCTGTTTCAAACCGTACAAGGCCTTCTTCAGTAGCCAGATCTTACCGGGTGTAACGGGGACTCCTGGGGGTGGTTTAATGTAGATCTCCTCTCGGAGATTGCTGTTAAGATAAGCAGCAACAGCGTCAAGTTGATGGATTTCGAGGTCGAGGGATGCGGCGTGTGCGAGTGAGGAGAATAGGGTGTTGTGACCTAGCGTTGGTGAGTATGTCTGGAAATAATCCACACCTAGCTCTTCAGTAAAGCCTTTCGCAACTAATTGCGCTTTCTTCTTCACTACTTCTCCCTCAGAGTTCGTCTTTTCCATGAAAACAAGACGATGTCATGGGGATTTGCCGGTGTACCATAAATGAGCCAAATCCCGCAACTCTACTACCCTCAGCAAGCACCTCACATCCATCACATGTAGCCTATATCTCCTCACACTACTTACAAACTTTCCTATTTTTCCTTATTTTTCTGATTCCATTTCCAGTGTCTAGAGCCCGATATTTCCACTTCCTTATTGTCATGTGATGTTCTTTCCTTATTTGTTTATCGGACTCTTCCGGGACCCACTGTACAGTTTGGTAGAGAGTATCAACACCAGACTCAACTGGACCAATATGCCCACTCAGACCTGACCCTCAGTGAGATCCTTATCCCCCCCTCTTTCCTGTCACGAGTCTATTGGATAGACCCGTTACAACGACTATCGTGAACTCTCATACCTTGAGGTAGGTCCACTTCCTCAAATACTCCGCACTGAACAAGATTCTGATGTTCTTCCACAATAGCTGCTGTCCATTCATCCGAGTCTTTTCGGCCCATAGCTTCGTGATAATTGCGTGGGACGCCTTCGGCGGAAAGAGCAAACTCGCCAACGTCTTTGAGAATGGCAAAGTTAAGTTCTTCGTCCCGAGTATGATTATCACCCACTGAAGCTTGGTTCGTCCTGACGTCACCCACTGAATCCGAGTTCGCCAGCAAAGGTGCCAGAGATTTGGCTCATCTTGAACCTAGACTCAGTTTCGGGTCCTCGTCAGGTTGCATAGGGCGTTTCCCAGCATTAGGGTGATTCGAACGTCGGAGATTTGGAGCAGGTGTAGGAACTGAGGAAATTTGTATCCGGTGTGACTACTGGACTTATCGGAGCTCCAAATTCTTATGACGTAAACCAGCGTGACTGGACAAATGACATAAAATGGACAAGCCTGGTATCGAACCCAGGACTTCTAGCGTGCATCCATACACTACTCGCCTGTTATGCCAGGGGGGGGGTACCCCTTCCCTGATGGTTTGGGAGATCACTTGATCCCTTCCTCCAACAGGAACAGGATCATGGGAAGTGTGAGGGGGATGAGTCAGAGAATCGTTTGCGCTCGGTACGTCAGTATCCGTAGAAACGTTCCTATCCCCCCCTGAATCAGCACCCTGACCTTCATCCTTCAGCCCATTTCCCTCGCTTCCAACTTCCTCTCTCGTCACTACTTCAATCTGCACCCTCTCCTTACTATCTGCCTCCAAGAATTCCACATCCCGCGATTCCAACATCCTCCACGCAACTCTATCATACAACAGATATGCCTTCTTCTCTTCTGCGAAGCCAACATGCACACACTCAATCGCCTGCGCACCCAACTTGGATTGGTACTTCTTGGGGATGTGAGCGTATGTGAGGCAACCGAAGAGTCGAAGGGCTTGGAGAGATGGCTTACGATCAAAGTACGCCTCGTAAGGTGTCTTATTGTCATCGAGAGCACGGGTGAGTACGCGATTTTTAATCCAAACTGCATGTCGGATTGCAACACTCCAGAAGTTTTGAGGCAACTTCTTATCCCGCAGGACCCCCCTCGCATCCCCAAGCATTGATCGGGCGTGGTCGTTCAGCATGTGATTAGTACGTTCAGCAACGCCGTTTTCTTGTGGGGTATAGGGATTGGTGTGTTTGTGGGTGACGCCGTCGGACCTAAGGTATGCTTTGAACTCTTCCGACGTGTACTCACCGCTGCTGTCAGTACGAAGGATCTTCAACTTCTTACCGGATTCCTTCTCGGCTTTGGCTTTCCAGGCCTTGAATTGACTAAGAGTGGCGTCCTTGGTCTTGGTAAAACCAATGTGAGTGTATCGACTGGCGTCGTCAATGAATGTGATGAAGTATCTGTAACCTTCACGCTTTCAGGTAGGATGGGTCCACACATATCGCTGAAGACCCTCCCCAGGGTTTCAGTAGCATGTTGTGGAGTGGATTTGGGAATGGGGTTACACGTCCTTTTGCCCTTTAGGCAAGGTACGCACTTCTCTTTCTTCTTGTCCAATACCTCCATGCCAGTAACCGCCCCTGTGTTTGCCAATCGGAGGACAGTATCCTTGTTGATGTGGCCAAGTCTCCTATGCCACAAGGTGAGACTACCTTTAGAAGTATTACTCACACTCGTTACTAGGGCACATCCATCAACTTCTTCGACGTGCGCAAACCTGGCTTCCTCCGGATACACGACTTCGGCACATAGCCTATAGAGGTTTCCGTTTAAGTACGCCCAACTGAGGACCTTACCGGATTTGGGGTCAACAATGTCGGCGCTACTGGAGGAAAAGGTGGTCTGAAGACTGCCTTCGGCCATTTGACACGTGGAAAGAAGGTTTTCACTGAGGTGAGGGACATGAAGTACTCTGGAGAGTGTGGCAGGTTTAGACTGATATCCAACCGA